GTGCCAGGCTAGCCGCAGTCCATCGGCCCAGGAGTCAGTGTCCACGCAGCTGTGGGCCACGCGGGGAATGCCAGGAGGCCACGTGTGAGCCACGAGCCAGCAAGAGAAACCACAAGGGTGCATTTCCTGGTTCCGGGAACACAAATTCCCGCAGGCTTGCACTGGCCACGCCCATTCTGGCCAATGAGCTCTGTCCCCAGCAGTGATGGACAGGCAAGTACCTCCCCTTTACCCTCCCAGCTTCGCCGGGCATGTGTCTCCCCTGCACCCCTTTGTTGGATTCTCCCCCAGAGCCACGGGAAGACCTCGCCTCTGTGTGGCCTTCCCTTCCTTCCCCTCCTACTACGAATAACTAGCTAATGACAACAGTATCCCCACGAGGTGGGTCTGTTTGGGGAGTTGTTTTTTCCTCTGTCACTGGAATAAAAACATTATATGCTTAGGGTTTTTTTTTTTTCCTTTTTCTTCACAAATCTGTTTCCAGTGGATGACATCAAATGGCAAACAGCAGGTCTTTGATATCTATTTCTTTTATGAATGATGGGGGAAGGAAGGAAGGAAGGAAGGAAGGAAGGAAGGAAGGAAGGAAGGAAGGAAGGAAGGAAGAAGGAAGGAAGAAGGAAGGAGGAAGGAAGGAAGGAAGGAAGGAAGGAAGGAAGGAAGGAGGGAGGGAGGGAGGGAGGGAGGGAGGGAAGGGAGGGAGGAAGGAAGGAAGGAACAACAGAAGGAAGGAAGGAAGGAAGGAAGGAAGGAAGGAAGGAAGGAAGGAAAGAAAGAAGGAAGAAACAAAGGAGGAAGGAAGGAGGAAGAAGGAAGGAAGGAAGGAAAAAAACAAAGGAAGGAAGGAACAACAGAAGGAAGGAAGGAAGGAAGGAAGGAAGGAAGGAAGGAAGGAAGGAAGAAAGGAAGGAAGGAAGGAAGGAAGGAACAAGGGAGGAAGGAAGGAGGAAGAAGGAAGGAAGGAAGGAAGGAAGGAAGGAAGGAAGGAAGGAGGGAGGGAGGGAGGGAGGGAGGGAGGGAGGGAGGGGAAGGAGGGAAGGAAGGAAGAAAGAAAAGCAAATGAAGGAAGGAAGAAAGGAAAGAATGAATAAAGGAAGGAAGAAAGAATAAATGAAAATCCCTGTTCAATTCCCCTTGGCAGTGCCATCATTATAAGGGGAGGAGAAGTGTGGTAACTTCACCGAAATGATACCCGCGCTCGGTCTCATGCCTCGGGTATGGTTCACTACTATACTCTACAGTTCACTGCACAACCTGTCAATGTCACTGTGACAAGGGCCACTTCTGGGACCGGCACCTCCAGGGCTGCCCCGCACATGTGGGCCATCCAGCCAGGGGCCTGGACTCGAGCCGGGAACCAAGGACCCGCCTGGAGGGCCAGACACATAGGAGGCAACAGCGCCGAATCGCACTTTCGCACGCGGACCGACAAGAGGGGCGTCCGACTCGTTCTGACCGTCACAGGCGCTGGCGCAGGTGCCCCCTCGGGTGCGGTTTCGTCCCTCGCGTCTCCGCTGCCCTGGTTCAGCCCGTGCGCTGACCACAGCTGGAGGCGAGGCCTTGGGCAGGGGCGCAGCTTGGCTTCTGGGGGGCCCGGGACCCAGTCCCGGCTCTGGAGCCACACCTGTGTCATTGGGGCTCGTGCACCTGCACAGGTAGCAGACCAGCCGACCTCTCCAGGACCTCCTGCTGGCCACCCTGCCCGCTGGTGTCCGACCCGACAGACAGCATCATCTTGGAGCAAAACCAAGTCACTTCCAATACGCCCGCGGCATCCAACCACAGACTAAGCCCAAAGTGAACACCGGCTGAGCGACACGAAAATGTGTTCGGACAGAAGGGGACACAGCCAGCGGACACCGGAAAGGAGAGGGGAGAACCCCAGACGCATCCAGACGAGATTCGACGTTGATGTTGGAGGTTGTTGGACAAACAGGCAGATTTGATGCAATTCCAGTATCACGTGCGTCTGCCTTTTAGATGCTCACGGTGCAGAGGGAGTGACTTGAGCTTCCTCTTTGCACGTAAGTGGAACTCGCGTTGCATCGTTAGACCCCGTACGGGTGCAAATACCGCGTTAGAGCGACGAGGACACAGCCCAGTGTTCCCGGGACACACCCAGATGGTCAGTAACAGATTGACCACTCTGCACGTGTCCGGAACTAGCTGGTACATGCCGTGGCCAATGGTGGACATGACCACGCCAGGGTCCTGATGCAGGAAAACATCCCTCAGGTACTCCCCGGGAGACTGTCTTACAATTATTATTCTTTTTAATCAAGATGATTCCGTGTACACGGTGGCATTGGCTGGACCACAGATGTTTCCTTCATGACCAGTGACCACGGATGTGTCTGAATCAACAGGGATATTGTTAGGACGTCCAGTCCCATGAACAGCAACGGAAATTATAAGGTGACGGGGTGTACTGGTGACCAGTCCACAGCTAAGAAGTTTACCAGCCGTAACAAGGACTGACCCTTTAGATTAGATGGACAATGACCTTGGAAGGGACAGAAAGGTACCACCTGCCACAGAGACCTGGAAAAAAATTAGCTGGTTTTGTTCATGTCGCCACATGCACGGAGCAGATCCTGATGGACGTCAGCTTCATTTTAAAATCTGTATTTTGCCCGGCTGGTGGGGCTCAGGTATCGGAGCCTGGTCCCCTGGACTGAGAGGTCACTGGTTCGATTCCCAGTCAGGGCACATGCCCAGGTTGGGGCCCGATCCCCAGTGGGGGGCATGCGGGAGGCGGCCAGTCCATGTTCTCTCTCATCCATGTTTCCATCTCTGTCCCTCTCTCTCGCAAATCAATAAAGAAAAAAATTAATAATAATAATAATCTCTACCACCATCACCCTCTTCTTCGGACAACAGCCTTTATACCCACAAGACTTTTTTAAAAACAAAACCCCAACGGTATTTCGACGTTGTGCCAAACACCCGTATCCGCGGCCCCAGCACGGACGGCACGCGCGTCCGTGTGTCCGCCACAGTCCTTTCCTGGTCTCTCGCTTACATCCCCGAGGCCCAGGGTGTGAAGACCAGTTTGAGACACGTCATCGTGATTTCCTGAAAGTCGAAAGGACGTGAAAGGCGGTGAACCGTTTTCAAGGGGACAGCGGCGCAGGGGAGGTGAAGTCAGCCCCTTTCTGGAACCTGCCCGGTGTCCGGCCAGGGAGCGGGCCCACGTCACCCCGTCCCATAAAGTGGGTCTGCAAAGCCTCCTTTGCGGGACGGGAGCAGGCGGCCACCGCAGCGCCCGGACGCTCCTTTGATTTGTCTTCCTGCCTCCGCCCTCACAGATTTTCATCTCGCCGCGATTATCTTTCCCACACCCGAGAGCAAAAGGTCCGCGGAAAGTTTTCCAAGCAGAGACGGTGTCAGCGCGAGACCCCTGCCCCCGTCCCCTGAGAACCAGTGAGTCAGGTGGGAGGTCACGCACACCGTCCTTCCCAGATCAACTTAACTCAGGAACGAGCCGCACAGGCGAGCAAACTGCCACCGATAGCTGATCAATACCCTGCGGCATCCCGGGGGCAAACCCATCGCTTCCGCAACCTCACCCTTTAAGGACGATCCACCAGCGAACACGCAGCACGGGGTCTGGGATTCACCCGAGCACCGTGAGGTTCAGGGCCCGTTTGTGACCCTGAGAAATCAGGTCTGAGCCCCCCACGAGGTGGAACACAGTGTCCTCTTTCGAAGGACACCGGTTCCTTCGTCCCCACCTCCTTGTTAGAAGGAAACTTTTGTAAAAGGTCAAGAAACACAATTGCCTCCTTCACGCAGGAGTGGCCAGGGTCTGTCGCGAAAAGACTCTGACCCTCCCCCAGGCAGGCTGACATCGCCCCACAAAATGAACTCAAATTAGTCCACAAAGCTCCGGGTCACACAGCCCGTGAAAACAATCCAGCAAGACAAAACCACGAAGCGAGAAGGCTCTCCGATCTGAGACTCTGTTTTCGTGAAACGCCAACAGGGGATTTCGAGTGTTCTCAGGAAGCTTCAGGAGACCCAGCTTTGCAAAGAGCTGTGGGGGGGGGGGGGGGCATATGCATTTGTAGGTTAGAAATGCATTTGTCCAAGTCACCCCCTTCCGGGGTCTTTTATAGAGGGGTGTTTTCCTAGGTGAATGGGAGGAAAAAGCTCAAAATAAAATGAAAACATCAAGGTGGAAATGCAGAAATCTAGGGACTGTTTGTCTATTTGGAGAAAAACACGTTCAGCGTGTTTCTGGTTTGACAGGGGTCCGTGAATCCGTTTTGCTTTGTTTTGAATATTTCAGGGCATCCACACCAAGCCAGACAGACCTCACTCTCGTGGCTACATTGTTCGAGAGATTCCGGGGTCTGCCGCACCCAGTGCATTTCGGATGAAAGCAACATTGTTCCGTAAAGCAAGGAACATTGTATTCATGAGCTTTGCAACAGAGCAAGCAGGACCACAGAAGGTAAACCGCCACATATCACCTCCCGACATGGATACACTTTTCCAACAGCCAGGAAAACGAGGCAAACAGCAAAACCGTGGTTGTTACACTTGCACATCCAAGCACCCACCCGTGTCCTGTTGTTGCAAATCCTAACACGTTGCAAGACACGAACACGAGTTAGGTTTCGTTACGGCCAAAGGCCACGGCTGGGGAATCACACACCCGTTATCGGAGGCCCAGACAAAGATAACCCACGAAAAAATCAGGTGAAAGATTTTCCAACACACGGTGAACACGCACCTACACAACCACCACACCAAGCTAGTGTGCAAGGCCGAGATCGGAGATGGTCACGTTTCGCCTACGGGGAACTGCGTCATCACACACCTCGCATCCTAGGCCGTGACCATGAGACCATCGGAAAAAACAGACGTCGCGAGCGCGTCAGGGAGATTTGCAAAGGAATCGGGGTGACCCGACGGCCTCCGTCCGTCTCCGCGACATGAAAAGCCAATTTTCCTCCCTGCTCCTGGGACGCTCGTCCCCAGGGGGAGTCACTCACCTAAGATCCCCAGCCGGTAGTTGATGGTAATCACAATGACGTTCCCGTAGCTGGCCAGGATGCTGCCGTCGATGATGTTGCCGGTCCCTTCCATGTACGACCCGCCATGGATGTACACCATCACCGGCTTCTTGCTGCTCTGATCGTGAATGTCTGGAGAAAGAACGAAGCGAGGGATTCGGTGAAGAGCCACACTGATTAGCCGGCGCCGAACAAGGGTCAGAGGGCACGGGTTTGCTGTGTAAAGGTTTGGGCTTGGACGACACTGTCTAAGAAACGGGTCCATGTGAGTACACTTCCCGCTCACGGGAATGCTATTCTGGGGAGCAGGCTGATATGTGAATGCATATGCATGCTTCTATGTATATCTAAGCCGCTAAAAAATGAAGGATTTGGCCCTGGCTTGGTGGCTCATTGGGTTGCAACATCGTCCCCGGCACCAAAAGGTTGTGGGTTCGATTCCTGGTCAGGGCACAGGAGAGGCAATGGATTGATGTTTCTCTCTCTCTCGGTCATTCGTGAACGTGTCATCAGTGAGGATAAAAGAAAAAACAAAACGAAGGATGTCGATGAAGTAGGTTATTTCCTACATCGCGCTCAATCCTCAAACGTGGCTGGAACTGAAGATGTGCTTGGCATCCACCCCAAAATAAATTGTTATCACCTAAGGAAGTGTGAAGTCAACGTGGAAATTATAGTTTATTTTTAGTATAACTACCCTCCTCAGGCAGAGGCGTGTTTCTCGGTGAGGGCATAAGGGTGATAGTGAATCTGTCACCTCGCGATACAGGATGATAACAGTAAGTAAATAAAGGGTTTAAAATGGTCAACGGGGTGGAGATGTGTTAAAATAAAAAGAAAACCACATGGCCGATGATGTCCAAGCACCTGCGTTTACTCAAGGAGCCAGATTGCAAAGCTCAACCTATTTAATTGATAAAAAACCAAAGAGATAGAGGCCAGCGGGTGTGGCTCAGCGGATGGAGTGTGTCCCATGGACTGAGAGGTCCGGGTTCGATTCCCGGTCAAGGCACGTGCCCGGGTTGTGGGCTCGATCCGCAGTGGAGCGCGTGCGGGAGGCACCCAGCTGATGAATGTTTCTCTCTCTCTCTCTCTCCCTTCTTCTTTCTAAAAAAAAAACCCAATAAAAATATATTTAAAAGAGAAAAGAGATGTCATAAAAATGAAAGCTAATGCCAACCTCGAGGTAAAATGATTGACATTCTCTGTTTTCACAGGGAATATAAGATCCCACTGTGACTGTCAACCAACCTGCACCCTTAGTCATTCATGACTTTGTTATTTTCTTCAGCGGTGATGGGAAAACAGTATCGTGCAAAGGGCTGTAAGCCTGGTTTCTGAAAATGTACAACTGAAACCTCACTGTCTAGTGTTTAACATCCCATAGGCTTAATTTCGTGTTTAAAAAGTCTGACCTCAATTATAATCATTCTGGGTCTATATGCATATACATACCGATATGTGTGTGTGTCTATGTAAATCATTCCGATGTCCGTTGGGCAACAGAAAATCAAATGTACCTATGTACATTTATTTTCCCTTTCTTTCCTTGTCTGAATTTATCAAGGCACTTTTGAAATATCAGAAAGGAATTGTAAGGACACGCGTATCGTCATTCGGATGGCGAGAGAAAGTGACATGAACTACAAGGACAATCCAAAATGAACGAGTCAGTTGCCATGATGAAGAGTCAGGAAGATTCCAGAAAACACAGTGGTCACAGTGAAATACACAAGGCCCCGTGTCCAGCCGCCCAGCGGGCTGAGGTGAATCTGCAGCTGAAGAACACCTGTTATTTCCTCATATAAAATTCAGAGAGAAAGTGAAAGTCCCTGGTGGGTCACCCTACGCCGCCTGTTTCTAGAAAGTGTTGGGCATGGTCCATGGCCTTCTTTGGTTCCTGGGTTGCTCCTGTACCCCTTAGTTCTTTGATCTCTAAGCTGCTGGATGCTCCATTGAAGCAAAGAAAAAAGCCAAGATTTCGGAGGCTGCTGTCAGGGGTTCCCTTGGAGACGATGTTCGACCGGCATCTCTCGCCTCCCAAGACACACAGAAAGAACAAGGTTCTCGGGAGCGCGAGGGACTCACAACCCGAGGCCGTACCGATTCAACGTCTGAAAAAAATCACAGCTCATCGGTATCCGATGAAAACTAGGGGGCGTCTTAATGGTCATGAAGTTGCATTATGAGAATTGTGAAAACGTATCTTAGTAATCCATAAGAAATATTCTGAAAAGAGAGAGAAGATAACCCAGAGGTTTGGGCTGTTTTGTTTTCTTTTTTTAAAATATATGTTTGAATATATTTCTGGGGCCCTCACCAGCAAACAGGCAGGCTGTGGAACCAGACGCAGAATGGGGTATTCTAGCGACAATAGCAAGGGGTCTTTCACAGAAATATGGACGATCGGGACAACCCATGCATGCAGGTCAATTAATTATTTAATTGGTCCAGCCAGTGTGGCTCAGTGGTGGAGCGTCGCCCCTGCTCCAAGAGGTCACCGGTTCGATTCCCGGTCAGGACACATGCCCAGGTTGTGGGCCCGATCCCCAGTGGGGGGCGTGCAGGAGGCGGCCAGTCCATGTTCTCTCTCATCCATGTTTGTATCTCTCCCTCTCTCTCTAATATCTATAAAGAAAAATATAATAAAAATAATTGAAATTGCCTTTCAGCTAGAGAGCCAAAAGTTCCTCTTGGACCATCATCCTGTCCAGTTGAGTACAAGTGTGGCCATGAATTTGTGCTCCTCAAACAGAGAAATGTGTTCATCTCCACCTAGAAAACCTTCACAGCAACGTATCATAGCCTTTATGTTTCTCTTCTTTTGTATCATTTATTCTGCAGAAGGCAGAGGATACAATGTATCAGTGGCCGCTTAGATGTATCTTTCCTCTTTGAAAACAATAACTAATTTAGTTCTGGTGGGTAATTGGGTAAGCCATTTGAAATCCTTTAAGAGAAAGCTTTGCATAGCAAACAAAGTTTTTCTTTGGTGGGGTGTTTGCAAACCAGCTGTGATATGAAGATACAGTTGCATAGAACTAGCTTTTTGGCCTTTAATTCTTGACAACTCCTTTTTTTTTTTTTTAATGACATTAAAGGCAGCCCTAAAGAAGCTACATCTTGTTAACATGTGTTTTTATGTATTTCACTGTGAACCAGAGTAGATTCTTAGAAATCTATTTTGGAGCAGTATCTTTGAAAAACAAATAAACAAACAAAAATTGAAATGGCAGCCACCCCCCCCCCCAAAAAAAAAAAAGAAAGTCAAACCGAGGTGTCTGGCAGAGTTTTGCAGTTCACAGACGGAATGGACACCAAACCTCCAAAGTACACCACCATGAACTCACAAAACTACGTTAGGAAGGAAGAAAAGAAAGAACACATGCATGTTTTAAATTTCATTTTCTCTTCTTGTGACCAAGCCAAAAACAGAAAAAAGTAAAAAGAAGAAAAAAGATGGACTTCCTTGTAACTTGCATGTTGTTTATTCACATTGAGAAACAATGTTCATATGTCTGCTGACAGCAACCAATGGGCACCGATTATGCAGTCATTGGGGATAAAAAAGAGAGTGGTTTCCAAACAAGAAGAAAATACAGCAGCACAGCAAAGTGCACGCATTTCAAAGGTAAAGGGAAGAAAAACAGGTTGAAATGAAAAAGGAAAAAAAAAAGATAGATATAAAACCATGCATCAGGATCGAGCTTTGGAAAAAACAAAAAAAAAACACCAAAAAAAATACCTTCGTCTTCACCACGGTCATTACTGGTTATACCATCGCTGTTTTTCTTTGTGTTGGCTCCTGGGGTCATCGTGAGAAGGAAAATAAAGGGAAAAAGAATTCAAAAACAACAGGTTTGCAAAAAATTCAGAAGAGACAGAGATACCACCCAGTAAAAGAAAAAAAGAAAGAAAAAGAATGCCACACAAAAAGTTAAAATCTGTTACAGTTAGATTTCATAAAAATAAAACAGGTTGATACAAAATGCATAGAAACATAAAAGATGTCAAGAACCAATTCAAAATGTTATTTGTAAAAAAAAAAAAAAAGAAAAAAAAGGATTAAGTATCCTGTGAAAATGCATTTTGGGGGTTAAAATGAGGCTACTGCCAAAAAAAGAAAAAAGGAAAAGCTAATGTGAGTTTAAGGGAAAAAAAGAAAATTAAATTATTAAAAAAGAGATTTTCAAAAGAGATGCATATAAAATGCTCCATGCTCCCAATTTTCACGTTGCATCATCTAGATACATTTTTAAAATGACCCTGATACACTTGAGTTACAAAATCCCATAATGTAGCAAGAAACACATTTAAACAATAAGCATGAAAGAATTCTCATGGAAATATCTTACCATTGACATTAGTTTCACGGGTAGGAAAAAAACAAAAACACACCATTCCCAGTAAAAGTCAGAAATGTCACTCGTCAATCTAAACCGCGGTCACAGAAATAATTCATGTTGTTTTGTACGATGAGAAAGAAGCTCAGACGCCCAATAAGTATTTCTTCAAATGACACACAATAAATAATATTTCGTGCTTGAAATACTTAGTAAATATTACTTAAAAGTTATTGCAATGGAATTTGGAAAATAAATCACTGAAGTCACCTACCTTGACCACGTCAAAGGGAAGCCACACAGGAACTTGCATGCAACCAAACAAACGTGACAAGTATACGTTAACCACACCAAAGATTCTCCTGTTATGCATTCGGTACACGGGGCAGCACTTTAGTTCCTATTTTATGCAGATACAAGAGGCCAACACGTTTACGATCGCTTCACCTGCTTAAGTAGGTCACTGGGTCAACTGTCTTCCTTCCGTAGACCTACACCGGCCAGGTACACACATTCCAGCTCCCATCAGTCCAACCACCTCCGTCGATTGAAGTGGTCTTGGCCTTCCTCCCGGAATCCAGGGTATGAGGATTTTAAGGGAGGTGGGACATAGTAACGGTCACCCTCAACCCTTGGATCTGAGAAGCCTTCAGTTCTACCGAACTAAAGGGACCTCTAAGACGTTTTGAAAGCAAGATTTGAAGTTGCTGTTCGCATCGGTCAAAGAAGAGTTGAAGGGTGTCTATTTCAAGTGACTCAGTTCCTTCTCACAGGTAGACCTAGGTGAGC